GGCGGCGGCGGCGGCAGCCAGCACTTCCCAGCTCATTTTCTCTCTGTCATTCCCCTCTCCATTTTTGATCAATGTACTTGCCAGAGAGAACCGAAGTCCTTCAAACCTCCTCCTTTTCACCTTCGTCTTTAACGTGGTGCTAGAGCAAGGACCACAAAAAGAAACTGCCCTCCCCCTCCCCTCGGCCCCAGCCCCGCCGCCCGGAGCGGACTTCTCCTCCTCCTCCTCCTCCTCCGTCCCCACTTGCGGGACACTTTGTGCGTTTCTCTCGCTCACTCTGCCCCCTGCTCTCTCGCTCGCCGCAGCACCTGATCCGGGGTTATCCCCCCCTTCTCCCCCCCTCCTCCCTTCTCTCCTTTCCTCCTTTTTTTTTTTTTTTTTAAATTTTTTTTTTTTTTTTTAAATTTTTTTTTTTTTTTTTAAATTTTTTTTTTTTTTTTTAAATTTTTTTTTTTTTTTTTAAATTTTTTTTTTTTTTTTTAAATTTTTTTTTTTTTTTTTAAATTTTTTTTTTTTTTTTTAAATTTTTTTTTTTTTTTTTAAATTTTTTTTTTTTTTTTTAAATTTTTTTTTTTTTTTTTAAATTTTTTTTTTTTTTTTTAAATTTTTTTTTTTTTTTTTAAATTTTTTTTTTTTTTTTTAAATTTTTTTTTTTTTTTTTAAATTTTTTTTTTTTTTTTTCATTTTTCCCCTTTCCCCTGCGTGTGTGTGTGGGAACTTTCCCCCCCTCCCCCTGCCCCCGCCGCCGTATATGTGACCATGGCCGTACCGGCTGCTTTGATCCCTCCGACCCAGCTGGTCCCCCCTCAGCCTCCGGTCTCAACTTCTGCCGCCTGCACCACCACCACCACCACCTCCTCGTCGGCCACCTCCTCTCCGTCTCCGTCCATCGCTCCCCCGCCGGCCGCTTCGGGGACAAACCTATTCCGGCCGGAGCCCATCGCAGCGGCGGCAGCGGCGGCGGCGGCGGCACCTCCACTCCCAATGCCAGCGCGGCCAACGCGGCCAGCAGCCTGCCCCGCAAGCCCGTGTACTCGACCCCGTCCCCGGTGGAGAACACCCCCCAGAATAACGAGTGCAAGATGGTGGATCTGAGGGGGGCCAAAGTGGCCTCCTTCACCGTGGAGGGCTGCGAGCTCATCTGCCTGCCCCAGGCTTTCGACCTCTTCCTGAAGCACTTGGTGGGGGGCTTGCACACGGTCTACACCAAGCTGAAGCGGCTGGAGATCACGCCCGTGGTCTGCAACGTGGAGCAGGTCCGCATCCTGAGGGGGCTGGGGGCCATCCAGCCCGGGGTCAACCGCTGCAAACTCATCTCCAGGAAGGATTTCGAGACCCTCTACAACGACTGCACCAACGCCAGGTAACCGCCGCCAGGCACACGCACATCCCGCGG